CCCGGCCACCGTCTCACTGCAAGACCAACCACGCCAAGTGCTCCGAACAAAAGCGGAGCGCACAACTAAAGAAGAAGAAGAAGACATGCACATGGTTTGTGCATGTGTTGATAGCAAGTCGCTGGCTGACATTTTCCTTCTTTCCATGCGCAGGATTCGGCAGCGAGATCCCGGCCCTTCTTCAAGCTGGAACGATGGGCATGTGGGTCTGGAATCATGAGTGCATATCATTTCGCACCAGATGCGAGCCTGGCTTTGGCGACAGATCGCGTGACGCGACCCATGCATGAGGGACGTGCGCCGCCGATATGGCCGTCCAGCCTCCACCTTTTTCGAAGCCTTTTGCGATTTTTCGTGGGAGCGGGGCTCGGAGACGAGGAAAGAAGAAATCCGTCCTCAGACGTGCCTTGCAGTTCTGCATCCATCTTGTGCGACCTTGGCATCGTACCAGCTCTCGCGCTCTCACCGTATCAGCACCGATACCAACACAAGCCTCGCGACAGACTCGTCAGGATGTCGTCGCTGGATGGACATCAACCTCTGCGACAGCTGGACGCTGCGCTCGACGTGCATCCGGCTATCATCACCGCGCTGATTCGGCGGGTGAAATCGCTCGTGGCTCGGCTCATCGATCGCGACGTCGACGAAGAGCGAGTGCGAGGAGCCGAGGGCCTCATCTCGGACAAGACTATCTCGGCATTCCACGAGCTCGGCGGCGACTTTGGCGATGCTGTCCCCTATGCCTTGCTCGAAGCTCGCGTAGAGTTTGAAGAGGATGCCGAGAAGCAGCCGCTGGACCACGGCCTGAACCGCAAGCGTGCGATCGCATGCGAAGTGCTCGTACAGCGACTGGTGGCGCACATTGAGCGCAGCTCGATCGGCTCGGCGTCCTCGAGCGTCGGAAGCTACCACCTCTGCTTGACCAAAAAGTTTCGGCGCTTCGAGAGCGACGGAGATGTGACGCTGCCCACATCCGCTCTGGAAGCTGCGATCGATCAGAACTGCGTGCCTGTGCTCGCATCCATCGAGGCGCGACTAGCGACACAAGCCATCTGGGAGGGAACCCTTGTGCAAAAGTACTCGGCGGGCGGATACACCTATTTCGAGCCATACGACAAGAAGGAGGACGGCGCGTTCCTGTCGCACTTCCATCCGTCGCGCTTGGGCGTACCCAAGTACTCGTACATTACCAACATTGTACTCTGGATCTTCTTCCTTGCCATCTTTACGGTACAGACGAGGACGTTCAAGTCGTTCGACGTGTTCGAGGCGATCCTGTGGATCATGGCGGCAGGCTACCTCGTGGAAGATGCGTCGCGCTGGGTCAAGATGGGAGGGCTCGGCGCGGTCGAGTTCTGGACCGTGATGGACCTCTTCACGGACGGGCTGCTTTTCGTCTCGTTCTGCTTCCGCGTGGCGAGCTTTGTGTCGCACGGCAAGCGCTCCGACTCGTACGAGCTGCGAGCGTTCCAGTTCCTGGCGTGCGTGGCACCGTTGATCTGGGTGCAGCTGCTCAAGGTGTTTGACGGCTTTGTGTACTTTGGCACGCTGACGGTGATCATCCTGCGCATGTTCAAGGAGAGTGCGATCTTCTTCACGCTGCTCGCGTTGGTCATGGTCGGGTTCGGACATGCGTTCCTGGCGCTCGATGCTGCCGACGAGTCGCGAGTGGACAATGTGGAGGTCAAGATCATCGATGTGCTGACGCAGTCACTGCTTGGCGGAGCGGATTTCGAGCTGACGAACGAGGATGCGTTTGGATATCCGTACGGCCACATTCTGTACTACGCCTACTGCTTTGTGACGGCGGTGATTCTGCTCAACATCCTCATCGCATTCTTCGGTACGGCATACAGCGACGTGGTGGATTCGGCGGACGAGGTGTACGCGGCCTTCTTTTGCCAAAAGGTGGTTGCGATGGTGCGAGCGCCGGACCAGTTTGTTTACGCGGCGCCGTTCAATCTGCTCGAGGCGTTTGTGATCGCGCCGCTGGAGTGGGTGCTGCCGCACGAGACGTACGCCAAGCTGAACTACAGTGTGCAGTCGGTGCTGTTCGCGCTGCCGCTCATGTGCATCGCCTTCTACGAGAGCCGGGTGGCTCGCAACGGTGGCTCGATCCGACTGCCGCTGCTCGAGGCCGAGGAGAACGATCCGACGAGCTCGATGCTCGAGGGGACGCAGGAGGACCCGATTGTTCCCGAGCTGGATGGCAGTGGAGGCATGCAGATTTCGCGAACCAAGTTTGACGAGATTGTTGGGATGATGAAGCAGCAGTGACGGCGGCCGCTGCGAACCATGTACGGGCAAATGCCTACAATACTAGCAAGACAATACAACGTTTTAATTGGGAAGAGACAGACTGAACGCGTGTGCATGCGGCTTGACATGAGGGAAAACGGATGCGGATGGTATCACTTTGCGTACAAGGCTGTCCACTGTCTGCTGACCTCGATGGCTCTGTCGGGCGGAGTGAGAGGGGGTAGGGGGTGTTAGCTCTGCATGTACGAGTGAGGAGATGCGCGGTGGATGAAGAGGATACTCACCCCTTTTCGTCCTTCTTGTAGTGTTCGGCGACGTCGTTTGCGAGCGGGTCGTCCGGGTTTGGCGCGGAGAGCAAGGCTTGGACGGAGAGGAGGACGGTGCGGATCTGGAGTGCTGGGGACCACTTGTCTTTGAGGATGTCGAGACAGATGCGGCCGAGCTTGTCGATGTTGGGGTGGTAAATCTTTGTGAGGAAGCGCACCTTTGGCGCGGACATGGGGTATTCCTCGGGCAGGAAGAGCTCGAGACGGAAGACGCCGCCTGATTGCAGGGATGCAGGGATGCAAGGATCACACACTGTCAGCTGCGGCAGCCAAATAGTAAGGGTGCGAGCGGCCGGTCAAGCTACGTACCTTCGAAGGGGCTCTGTGTGGGACCGGAGATGACGACGTCAAAGTATCGGAGGTTGTCCTCGTGCGGGGTTGCGCTGATGCCTGGAGCGGGATCGGCGATGAGACGTTCGGTCTCCTGAGTAGATGCGTGCCACAAGAAGAGGAGACAAGTCAGTACAAGACAAGATAAGAGGAGCTACGACGACGACGACGACGACGACGA